CAAAGTAATTACGGCAAATAATACGGCACATGCCGTAACCGTATTAATTTGCCAAATTAATTCTACCGCCAACACTAGCTAAGATGTACCAACAAAATTGTAAATTATTAACAGTAAATGCATTTTAAATGCATAAAATGTATAAAATAGACTAGCTTTTTCTTATGTTAAAAATTTGGCCTGCCATCTAAACAATATTAAAGCGTAACTTTATTTTATAAAGCATCTAACATCACATTTTCTTATTTACAGTATATAAATTATTTGAGATAGTTTGTAACACATATATATGTCGTGACTCGTACCACCTTCCATCTGAAGTTACTGATTAAGGTTGCATCTGCAGCCACATAAAAATTCAGCATAAACGTATTAATAATATCTTAAACTTACAAATAATGACTAAATTACTTGAACGTTTCTCCAACGATTTTGCACAACTTCTTGAAACAGAATATGATTATAATGTCATAGCTAAAGTTGGTGGACAAAGTTTTAAGCTACATTCATCAGTTTTATATCAACGCTCATCATTTTTTCGTCAAGAATTATCAACTGCAACCAAAAAGAATAATCTTATTGAAATTACTTTAACTAATATTTCTGTTGAGACTTTTAAAATTTTAATTAAGTAAGCGATTATCATATCGACTTAACTATATAATTAAGATTCACCAGAGATGAAATTTACCTGTATGTTCGTCACCATTTTACTTAGTATTATACTCAAATACTAATACGTAGTTTTAGCTATTTTTGAGAAATTACATATTCGGTGAATTTCACTTCTAGTGGGCTAAAATCGTTCTTGCATTAAATACTAATTAAAGGTTTTCTTTAACCAAGATATATTTATACTGGTACAATCTTATTAGAAGATTTTGCGGAATCTACTATATTTGATCTTTTAGTTCCATCCAACAAATTAAGTTTAGCAGAAGTAGTTGAATACATTCAGTCTTATCTTGTTGATAACAAAGCATCTTGGCTTCGACTAAAATTTACTCAAGTTTATTCTACTAGTTTCCAAGATAATAATTTTAAGACCTTACAAACTTTTTGCACTGATATCCTTGCAAAACATCCTAACCTAATTTTTGATTCTGATGACTTTACCTCTATTCAAGAAAATGCATTGGTAACTCTTTTAAGAAGAGATGATTTACAAATTGAAGAATCAGAGATTTGGGATAAGATTATTCAATGGGGAAAGGAACATACACCAAATCTACCATCTAATCTTGAACAATGGAATGATGAAAATTTTTTAGCCTTAAAAACCACACTTGACAAATGTATTCCTTTAATTCGCTATTTTCAAATGCCTGGAAAAGATATTGTAATGAAAGTTAAACCATATCATCAAATTCTTGGATCAAAATTGTGGGATGATATTACAACAAAGATTATGGCGCCTGATATATCAGTCTCTTCAACTATTTTACCTGCACGTAAAAAAATCTCAGTTCAACTTCCAGTCCGTGAAGTTAACTTTATTAATCAATCATCAATTGTTAATGATGAACATTTTGCAGAGATTTCATCTTGGATTGATCGTTGTCCATCGATATATGATATTACAAAAATACCTTACAAATTTAGTTTACCTCTTAGAGGAAGTAGAGATGGATTTACTCGTGAAACATTTCATAGTAGAGTTGGCCCCGAAACCACGTGATGCTAATTTGTCACATGCTATTACTTATAAAAATCGACGATCTATTTTGATTTTTTATAAGTACTAGCATGTGACAAATTAGCATCACGTGGTTTCGGGGCCAACTCTAGTTTAAGGTATAATCGGTATAATCAGTATAACCAGTATAAACATTATAAGTAATATAACCATTATAATCGATATACAGTCAACTCCCTCCAAGTGCAACTCCTCTAAGTGCAAGCTCTATGAAAGAACTCTCTAAATGCAAGCCTTCTCTTGGTCCCAACTACTATAAGGTAGCTGCGCGACGCCGTGCCGTCGCGCTAAAACCAGGAACGTAAAATTAGATTTTGAAGTATTGTATATTATTTTTATAATTGTTTTTAAAGTAATAGCTATGCGAGTAGCGGTATTTTTGTTTAAGTATATGAGCATATTTAATGTAGGTATTATATGTTATTAGGGGGTTTTAATTAGTCAATTAAATGATTGATCGGAATTAATAACTTTTATTATTGTAGGTTTGTAAAGAATGTAATTGTTAGTAGATATAAGTTTAGTTATTTTGTTGGTTTATAATTTGTTTTAGCAATGATGTAGATCGTAAATTAATTATTATTAAATTTTAGTATATAAAGGGATAAATATAGGGTATATGTGTGGTAATTATAGGTTTTTGAAATATTATGAGTTGATTTTTGTAAGTAGTGTTTTAGAGATCAATTAATATAGGTTTTTGGTGTTTTAAGTAGGTGCTTTTAAATAATATATTAGGTAAACATTTGTGCATAATTGGTATTTGACAAATTATGCAGGAATTAATTTATAAGATTTAACGTATTGTTTGATTTATTCATGTTAGTATATGTGCATTAATTTAGTAATTTATAAAATTTAAAGGTTGGAATTTTGTATAATGTTTATTATGATTATGTGGAGCGGGTTTAATTTAGTTTCACAGTATATATGTATTTGTATATGACATAATTTTAGGTAATACATAATTATATTTATATGAAAGCGAAGGTAAAAGTAGTTAAATTTAATAAACTTTATGGAGAAAAGAAAAAAGTATTTTAAAAAGTTTCAGTATGCAGAGGCCAGTAATCTAGGTTTTCTGTTCTTTTTTCACACTCGTTTAGACGATCGATTTCAGCATTAAGAGCTGAGGGTAATTTAGCATTTAATATTGATTCATTAAAAGGCCGTAGAATTAGTAGGTCTTCTAATTTTTGTATTTGTGAAAGCATTACGTATGCGCTATTGCATGTGTTTGTATTCGATAAATCAACCACTGTTTTATTTAGAGTGCGACCTTGAGATTTAAAATCGGTGAAAGCGTAAGCTGGAACTAGAGGAAGCTGGAGTCGTTGAAATTTTTTTTGCATTTTAGAACCATCGAGTTTTTGGTTGGTATATGTGCAACTTCGCTTTACTGGATATATCGGTACATGATTCGGCGGTAAGCCGTCATACGTACTTGGTTTTAGATCGATTAATTCTACAATAACGTATTTTGGGGGTTTAGTAAGTATGATAAATTTTTTTTTTTTAGAGAATGAATTGATAGAGTTTTCGTCAATGATTATTTTTTTAATCAATCCTCTAGCACCATTTGCTAAACTATCATTAATGCATATATTGATAGTTAAAATGATTTTCATTCCAATTGTAAGGGGTAGTTTGCCAGAAAGTGCATTTTCTTTTGTATCAGAGACTGATAAGAATTTCCTACGGATGCATCCAGTTAAAGGTTTTCGACAGTAAGTATCTTCTGAACAGGAATATATAATTGGTTGGTCTTGTTTTAAGGCAAATTCTATTGTAGATTCAAGGTTCAACTGAACGCGTAAATCATTCCTTGTAACTAAAAAAGTAGCATTTTCCCATTCTTGATTTTTTATCCTATCATCACCTATTATTCTTGATCGTAATGCTTCTTTTTGTTGTTCGCTTAGGGATCTGGTACGCATGTTGGATAAAATTTCTGCGTAAAAAGAATCATTTATTTGACACATAGATTTTTTTAATTGTACAACATTTTTTACACTTAGCTATAAATTTCTTCCTATAGCATTCATTACAGCACGATTATTTATTTTGACAATGTTTACGTTTTTTAGAATTAGAACTTGATATTGTATTACTAGAATCAGGTAATTCATCAGATAAATTAATTTGAGTAATTTTGCTTGGAATGTATAGTGCAGGATCGAGAACTGGAGGTAATTGCATGAAATCTCCGGAGAAAACAATGTTGAGCCCAGCAAAAGGGGCAGAAGTGTCAGAGGATTTAATTATTTTTAAAAAAGTGTAAAAACGTGCAAGGAGAGATTGACCGATCATCGAAATTTCATCTATAATTATGTATTGTTTCTTATTCCAGGAATCTTGTAGTTTACATAAGGAATCGCTCGAGGTATCACCATTATTGTTGCAAAATTCTTCAAAACCAAATCTGCATGCTGAATGAATGGTATATCCATTTATATTTGCTGCAGCGATACCTGTAGGTGCAAGTACAATAATAGAGTCACTTTGACCAGTGAGATTGAAATAGGAACAAATTGCATTGATAACTTTTGATTTCCCAACGCCACCTGCGCCAGTTAAAAATAGCAACAACTGAGCTGGCTTTTGGGTATGGTCAGGTTGATTTCTACACAGGTGGTTACATACGAGTAAGTAAGCTTTTCGTTGTTCGTCATTCAGACCTACTGCACATTGTTTTAAGTAGTTTGTGTTATTATTTATTTTTGCTTCAGTATAGTATGGATTACTATAATTTTTGGTAGGATTTATGTTTATAGAATTATCAGGATAATAGATTTTAGGGGTTCTTTTTCTAGTTAAAATAGTAGCTTGCCAAGATTTAAGAAGATCATCATCGTAATTATTACTTAAGCGAATGTTGTTTTCATTGGTCAAATTGCAATCTTTTATAGGGTCAGATGTAACATTCAGGGAAATATGTGTATCGAAAGAAGCAGAATATTCATTTGAAAGAAATCTACCTCTAATACGTAGATAATTCATTGTATTATCTACTGCAGTTGTATTTTTTAGCCCTGATCTAATTATTTGAAATGGATTAATATGTATTGTGGATGTATTATATAAAGAGTTTGAATTGTCAAGCTCATCAGCAGAAAAATCTAATTCATCATTGGAATTAACTGTTTGTGTACGATTAACTCATAGAATTTTTGCGTACATTGGATCATTCTTCGCTTTTTGTCGTAATTCACGATCTAAAGCTGTTTTTTCTGAACATCTATGAATTAACTCTATGTTATCGATAATTGTTTTTAATCTTAGGGACAACGAAGGATCAGTTAGAAAGGATTTGCAGGCCTCGGACCATGAGTTATAATTTTCTCTAAGATCATGAACGGTTTCCCAAGGTTTGAAAAGGAGGAGAATACATAAACTATAACATTCAGCGTTTTCAATGTCATCTTTTTTTGGTATACCTTTACCGCACTGTACAACAATTCTTTCTGTTCCACGTTTACGATGCATTTGTAGGTGAGTTTTACATTGCAGATGAATATTTTCATTTTCATAAGTCTGTTCGTTGGTAAAATCATGACCTTGAAAAAAAAAACAATCAACAAGTCCAGAGCCATCTCTTGAGGATTGAGTTTTTAGCATAGTTAGATCATGTGAATTTATAGGAATTTTATGGACGGTAAAAGCATAATCATAAAGACACATATTACGTAATGAAGAATTTCTGAACTGATAGTCAATGTGAATATTTGTTGCTGTTGAATTACCATTAAAGGAAGTAATTAATAGAGATTCAGTAAATAAACATTGTTCGTTATCATGTTCATTGTTTATTTCTAAGCTATCCGAAGGTAGATTTTCAAGTATATTTTGATATGCAATTCATTCTTTATTTAAGTAGTGTTCTATAGATTAAATATATAGACGAGTAAACTTGCACGGAGTGTAGTGATCTTTGATTCCTAATAAATAGGCAGACACTTGCGGGCCAGTAAATTCAGTGTGAGCAGCCATTTTATTTAGGAATTTTACCACTAATTTTTGGGAACAATCTACTATGCTAAGGGAATTATCATCAGATGCTTTTTTTAAGAAGGTTTCTAATATAGCGGAACACAGCAAGAATGAACTATGAGTATTTAGATCACATTTTGTAATGTATTGGGTAATGTAGTAAATGTAAGCTAAAGAAAATTTTCTTGCAGAAATAAATTTGATGTCATTATTTCCTTGACATGCCACAGTAATAGAAGGATTGTGGTTATTTATAAAAGCATTTGTGCACTGAAGTGCGATAATGCCTTGATCTGGAAAGACAAAGCCAGGAGGATCGACCAATTCTCTAGGAAAATCAAATCTGCAATTTTTTTGTAGCCTGCGATTATACTTTTTACATGTTCGGGTATAGCGGTGATATAAAGTATGTTTAGTAATCGCGAGCAAGTCTAAACGTAGCTTTTCACCAAAATCAGGTAAATCAGGGTTTGGAATTAGAAAAAATGAAGGGTGTATTCGTTTTTCTATTATTGTTTTAGGTGTCTTATATTCTGTTTCAAGCATGTTATCAGTTATAATGTTATCTTCGCTAAGATAGTTAATATCTTCTTTAATTATGTTATTAAGGTAAAGAAGTAAGCGTTGGCCAAATACTTTGTCATTCTTAAGCTGTTGATGTAATTCAATTGGATTAAGAGAACCATAAATCCAAATTAATAAATGACAGTGGGGTGTTCCATGATCCTGATACTCAATAACCCCATAGTAATTCTTTATATTACCAAAAACACCTCCTTTTTTATTGCTGTATCCGATTATAGTTTCTAAAATGCAAGTTATTACAACATCGAAATATTTTGCTACAGCAGAGGGCAAGTTTTGCATGTTCAGTAGCCTTTGGAAAATTTTGAGGCAATAGCTTATTATAATCTATCTCTTTACCAGCATATAACATAACTATAGGATGATGTAGATCGGCAGGGTTTATTGTTAAGAATAATGAAGGCATGTCATCATGTATAATAATGGCAAATATTTTATTACGCATACGCTGGTGTAACTGATACGATCCCATTAATTTAGAGCTAGCAGAATTCACATTTCGCAGTAGCTCAAGAATTGTAGGATTAGTTATAATTTGATTATTTTGTGTTTGCATAATAGCTAGTTGTATATCTTCAGCTTTAATTAATGCGATTAAATCAGCAGAGCGCTTAAATAAAATGCTTTTGGTTAAATTATAAGTTTTTGCAGACACTTCTCTTTGTTGTAGAATATTAAAGGCAATAAAAATAAATGATCAGTGATGATGGAACTTTGGATCGCGATGGTGCATAAGATAATTAAGGTATTCTTTTAATGAAATACACGGAATTCGACCTTCATGGCCTCCTACACTATACAGAAAAAGAATAGGAAATCCAGCTGGAAATAGAGATACATCACTATACTCATTTAAAGGTATATTGTCATGCGGCATAATTATAACTGGGGACTCTAAATTTTTAGAATTGATATTTTCAGATGTTCTATTAGATTTATTAATTAGTTTACGCACAGAGAGCAGTGTTAACTCATTTTCTGATATTGGAACATTATTTACATTTACAAGACCAGAGAGTCTAAGCTCACATGATTCGTTGTCATCAATAGTAGAATCAATTTCATCATCAGTATCACTACTAGATTCATTGTTATTATCTAGAGGATCATGACTATAACCAGTGTTATGTTCTACTTCACGTGAATTTATGTTTACAGAAGTAGTAGTTAATAGTAATGAGTCAGGAATTTCACCCTCAGGTAAATAATCCAATGCATTTTTATCGAATTTAAATTGTTTAAATAGAATGTTATGCTTAAAAAGCCAACAAAGTGCAGCGCTTACTTTGCTTTTTCGGACTTGGAGTATTTTTCTAAGGTAATTATTTGTAGGAATTCCTTGTCCAATGAATACTACTTTTAAAAATTCACATAGTTTAAAGATTGGTAAAGGCAAGATTTTTAACAGTGAGGACTAATCTTGAGATAATGTTATAACTTGCCCTTTGATTTTATGATGGGCATGTTTTCTATTTGTAATTTGTATAATATTTACACATGGATAATCTGGTGAAATCAAGAGTTGCTCTGGAATGGTTAAACCTTGAAGACATATTAGAGTAGGACTTATCCACATATCATTGGCTAATGATAGTGGCAGTTGTTTTTTTTTTTAAATAGTTATAGCAGTAATTACAGATTCGTAATTTTAATAGGTTATTATAAAAATTAGAGTTGTCTTTATATCGGTATTCATCCTTAGAGTAAATGAATCTAGCACGATCAAGCAGAACCTTGAATTCAATGTTATCAATATACGAATGAGCATAGATAAAATCTATTTCAAATGATAGTGAAGTAAGTTGAATTGGTGCTTTTATTAGTGATAGATCAACTTCTTCTACATTAATTTCTTTAAAGTTACCAATATAACACATTCTTGAACAAACAGCACATGCAAATTCTTTCAGACTTTCTAAACTAGTTTTTTTACGAAACTCAGATAAAACATTTTTTGCAACATTTTCGTCAATAATTTGTGGCCAGTCAGAATATGTTTTACTTGATTTATCAAATTCTTCATTTAGCTCTAGTACACATAAAGGGATGTCCGCGATTTTAGCTTGTTCGTCTCTAGTGAGAAGGTTGATAGTTTTTTTAAGTTTTTGTTCTTTGCGAAGAGATCTCATACGGTTCTTAGACTTGATATTTTCTGTTCTACGAAATTTCGCACTCAATCATTTGGATTTTTATCTTTTTTTTTCTAATTTCTCCTTTAGTCTCAATAGGATTCATGATGAAGGTAATATATTGTAAATTGTGATTTGTAATACATGTTATTAGTAAGGTGAGCTTATTATCTGTATATATCGCAATTATTTTTTAACTGATGTATCGTGGTCAAATGATAAATCGGATGTGTATTATATATTACAAAATAGAACAGCGTCTAACCAATTTGATTATTTTTTTATAAAGAATAAAATAAGGTTTCTTATAAACCAAAACCAATCATATAACAAAAATAGGAAGATATTTAATTATAACGTTATTAATGCTTGATTATTTTTCATTGAATAAAGTAAGTAATATGTTAAACTTTATATCCCATATCAAAAAGATCATATTATTTTATAATTAGTTTTAATCAGTTATTTTTATCATAGTTTTAATAATCTTATCCACTAATATAAATCACAGATAATAAGACTCAATTTTTAAGTAAGTATGGTTATCATCTTACCGATAGAGATAATATTAAAATAACTGGTTATAGAGATGAATATTTGGGCTTAAAATTACCATTAAATTAATGCAAAAGATTAAAAAAAAATTGACTGGATACCATTAGAAAAAATAAAAGAAAAAAAGAATGTTAGAAGGTAAACAAATAAAATACGAGAAGGTATAATAGTGAAGTCTAAATTGGATTGAGACCCGAATATGATCGCGCATGTATAGTGGTAAAAATTTAGGAATATCTAGTATTAAACAAATTATAATCTATATACTATTATAGTAGGTTTTAGCAGAAGCATAAGAAATATTTTGATAATCATATGATATAGCAATGGTAAAACCAGATTTGTATTACTGTATTTAGTTAACTTTTTACCAGAAATAATGCGAATGAAGAATATTAACTCTGATCATTTCTAGAATATCTATTTTTTATATATAGGGTAAATTTCATTTTGTTATGTAATAAAGTAAGAAGCAAGCATCGATCAGGTTTTAACACAATAATATATTCATTGTTCAGTATATATATTTAAGAGTAGCCAATAATATATCGACTAATGTGCGGATAAACTTTTTATGGACTTTGATTTAAAAGTAGATCTATGGTAGATCATTGCATGATCAACAAGGTATAACAGATTATATTTCAGAAATTTAATAATTTAGGAATACTGAAAGTAGAATTTAATTAGTAAAGGCTAAGCTAGTAAACAATCAACTTTCAAGAAAACATTATACAAATTCTAAGGCTAAAATGTTTCTTTATGAAAGAATAATGGTCTAGACTGTAAAACAGGTAAAAATTTTGGAATAAACACAATAACGTAATATGCTTACATAAATTGATTACAAAAAAAGATGATAATTTTTTTTATCAAAGCATAAGAATTAAATACGTTATTGTCTGATGTTATAATTTATTAACACATTATTGGAAAAAAAAAATTAGGGCTATTTTATATAAAGGTCAGATTTCAATAGTACAAGTTTTTATTCTTAATCACAATAAGTTAGATATATTAATAAGAAAACATGCCATCTCATATTTCTCTTCTTATCGTTATTATTTCGGGAAAGAATAATCGATATAGTTCATATGGAGTGGCCAAATATAAACTTTCTAATCAGATATCACGTACTATCAAATGGAAATATTTTTTTTCTTCAAGCAAATCACCTCAACTATTCAATCCTGGAGATATCATATTTATTTCTAGTAAATACGTGGTAGAAAATTATGAGAAATGTGTGACCATTGCGTATGCTAGCATTATTAATACTGGAAAGCCTGAACGTGAATTCGATATAACAAGCATCCCTATATGCATTCCTCATCTTATGATTTCTGTTAACGTAAATCGTAGTCCAAAAAAAACCAAAGAATTCGTCTATTTTGAAGCGGAATGCATAGAATATAATGGTCTCACCGGATCGACCAATATCAAAATGGAAATGATTGTTCTATATCCGTTCTAGTCTGTGAGGTTTAAGCATTTAGGCCCATTTGGAATTAATATTAAAGCAACAAATAACTACCTCATTTTAGGGTTTGTTAAATTCTTCAATTCTGGTAAAATGCTAATAGAAGCCACAGATATCGATTATCAAAAATCTTCAATCTATAATCCCACTCTGCCTGAAATTTTAACAAACAAATCACAAAAGACTCGCTCGATCATTGATATTATCGCAGATGATATTGAATCCGGTAGTACACAAACTTCTAACAGTAAATTTTTCCTAAGGCCTCATTCGTCTTTGCTAGCTCTAATGCAGAAATCAATCAAACTTTTGAACAAAAAAATGAATCAAACTTTGAAACTGAGAATAACAATGAAGAATAGCAAAGTGATCATGAAAAAGAAAAAGAAATACTTTCTGATGAGGATACAAATGTGATGGATGAAAATGAAGAAGAAGACCAGCCTAAAAAGAGGAAGCGAAATGTTAGAACAATAAAAAAAGAAAAGTGCGAAGAAGAAAAAGAAATACATTCTGATAAGGATACAAAGGCGATGGATGAAAATGAAGAAGAAGACCAGTCTAAAAAGAGGAAGCAAAACATTAGAACAATAAAAAAAGAAAAAGAAAAGAAAGTAGTTAGATAAATTTTAATAAAAGTAAATACATAGTTCGTTTATCATATTCAATGTCATAAAATTCAGATACATTACCGTATAATCAACGAACTTGTTATTGTCAGTATCAAAGCAATAAATAATAAAATACTTGTTAAAAACACATTGGTTATTTAGTATACGTTACCCTTATATTTATCTAAGAATGAAAATGTCACTTGAATATAAATTAATCGATTTTTAATAAATAATATAATCTGAGTCATATAAACATATGACCTCATAGTTATAGGTAGTGATGTGTCGCATACAGTACTATACTACAGTATGCTAAAATTTTTACTGATCACTTGATCTAGCCAATCAGATGCCAGAAAAAGAACTATACATACAATACGTACTGTATGCTAAAAATTTTCAGGTAAGAATGAAAATGTCACTTGAACATAAATAAATCGATTTTTAATAAATAATATAATCAGCAGATAATCAGAGTCATATAAACATATGACCTCATAGTCATAGATAGTGATGTGTTGCGTACAGTACTATACTACAGTACACTAAAATTTTTACCGATCACTTGATCTAGCCAATCAGATGCCAGAAAAAGAACTATACTGTACGCTAAAAATTTTCAGGTATCATATAAAATGGCACATTACTAGTCATAGATCATATTGGTCATATTAACGATAGTAAAAAATATTTATAACACAATTCTTAATACAGTATATAAAAAATAATCACAAGTCATCATTACAATCAAATGACCCATGATCAGTCACAAAGGTCAATAGCATATGAACACGGACATGGCATGCACCTAATTATGTACAAATCACGATTTTTAAGATCTCATGCATAGATGAAGATTATCATATATATTAGTATAATGCATACAAAATTAAGGCATCCAATCAGAACCGAGATTTGTGGACGAACCTAATTATGTACAAATCATGATTTTCAAGATCTCGTGCATGGATAAAGATTATCGTATATATTAGTATAATGTATACAAAATTAAGGCGTCCAATCAGAACCGAGATTTTGTGAACAAACACAAAACTCTTAATGGAACCATGCACTTCGTTCCACTACGTTCCTGGTATTACACCTATAGATTTTTACTCCTCTAAATGCAATATCTCTCTAAGTGCACATTTTGCAAAATTTTTACATATGGTCCTGTCACATTGCACTTAGAGGGAGTTGACTGTATCATGTATAAGATGTATAAAGCATACTAAGTAAAAAAAAGTAAATAATAAAGACGTTTCACGCTAGAGTAAAGGAGGAGTTCGTGATTATAATTACTCCATTACCCCTCACATTCACTGAATAAACCAAAAGATCTACTACTTAAGTAGCATAGGTAGTACGATCATTGCCTCTTGCTCACATGAAATCGTAAAGTGTACTGGTTGGTTCTCGACGTATTGAGGAGGACTTCTATGGTTGTTGTCCAACTTTCCCAATGTACCGTAGATTGTTGTAGTTGATTTTCCAGTTTCCCAACGGACTGTGGATTTTGTGGTTTTTGTGTTGCTCCGGTTTGAAAGATTTCAGCCATGGTTTTGATTGAAAGTATTGTGAATTGAAAATATAAGCATTAGTGTGTCCTTATCAAAGTTTTCGTATAAGTAGAAGATATATCTACAACCTTAAAATCACCCTCGCCCAAATCTAAATGCCTCTCTTCAACTAAGCCAATCGTAAGTTACACAACATCTCGAATCAATTAGCGACCGACTCGCCAAATTTCCAGCTAGCACTACTAATCTATACCTTTTTGGGAATCAGATTATACCAAATTATAGAGTTGTTAATGGAGTGGGTTGGTTAAAATTAAATGGAGTAAGCCCTACTCCAACCCAACCCAGGTTATGACTCAAATCAATACTCCGGGTTATACTCCGGGTTATACTCCAGGCAAGGACCTGTAAAATTTTAGATATCAAAAAATCTAAAATTTCAAGTATCAACTTAAATTTTCTAAAATTTTTAAAATCTAAAAATTTTCATATTATGTTATAGTTTGTGATACGTAGAAATTGGATGCTGCGCAGGTGGAACATTTCGAAATTTCACAATTCTGGCCTGCATTAGCAGTAAAATATAATGTGGACTGCAGTAGATTCAAAAAATAATGGATTTGCCTATCTCTAGTGACACGTTCTTATTTTTAATAAAAATTTTATACAAACTTAACTTATTTAACTTCTAAGACATACAGTATATGATTAGTTTGTATTGGATATTGATTCCGTGATCTAGTGACATGAATTTACGTGACTTAGTGCAATTTGATTCCTAATTTTATATTTAATAACAATTGGCAAAATTTAAATACTGAATTATTAAGTATTTTAACAAAATAAAAGAATGAACTTATAAAATTTTTCCAAATTTAAATCAAAATTTATCTAAAATTTATTAAAATTTGCCTAAATTTTTTGCTATTATCAGAAAAAAATTCGAGTTTTTAAAACTAAAATTTTACGGGTCCCTGACTCCAGGTCATACTCCGTGCCATACTCCAGGTCATATTCCGGGTTATACTCCAGGTCATACTCCGGATTATACCCTGGGTCAGTGTCTGAAATTGGGTTGCGGAGTCTGCGGACCGCAACAAAATTTTAAATTCCCGCAACCAAAATCTGAAGTG